GTCACACAGCATTTTTGGTATGTAATGGTGCGTACAGAATTAGGCCTGACACAATATCTATTTGTTGTTGAAGGATATATTGCACCAAAATATATTGTGATAAACTATATTATTGTCATTTTATGCCACTCATTATATAAAATAACAATATATTATCATCACAATGCAAGTGCATTCTTTCAAAGAACGCATATTTTATTCTGAAGAATATTGCATTTAATTTTAGTCGTTTTAGCAGTTTATTAATAAGGCAGTGGAATGCATATCCTAAATAAACAATAATAAGGTAAAAAGTGCTAGGTAAAAAGTAAGAGGCTGTGATATCTTATACCAGGTCTATTTTCAGTTGTCAGACACCTACATGAGAATATACTATAGCAGGGGTGTCCAAACTACGGCCCGCGGGGCTTTTTATAAATATTAATAGAATCTGGCCCGCTATACAAAAATGAACGTAATTCAATAAATAACCACCGGGTGTCGCTATTACATGCCTTCAATTAGACAGCAGTTCCTGTTACGAAGTAAAACGAACTGAACAAACTGAAAGAAACATCATTCATAATCACGTTTTGGCGAGCCATGGCACAAGCAAGAAAAAGGAAAATCAACAGTGAGTGCAGGAAATTTCAGTCACGATGGGGCAAAGAATATTTCTTCACAGAGGTCAGTGGAATATGTGTCTGTTTAATTTGCCAGGAATCAGTTGCAGTAATGAAGGGATATAATATTAAAAGACATTATAAAATAAAACATCAGGCCTTCAGCTCTTACACTGGTGCCGAACGAGATCAAAAAGTAAAACTAATAGCAGCAGCTCTAACCTTATCAGCTCAACAACAGCAGTTTTTTTTTTTTTCGTGCTAATAAAGTGCAAGAAAAGTCTATGCTGGCTAGTTATGATGTAGCCCAGCTAATCGCACAGCACAGGAAACCTTTCACTGAAGGAGAATCTATAAAGGATGAGTGTTGCAAGTGTAATTTGCCCAGAGAAGATTCAAGATTTTAAAAACGAAAGTCTTTCTAGAAACACAGTTGGACGATGAATTAAAATAACAAATTAAAATAATTCCATAACACACACACACACACATACATACATACACATATACATATATACACACACACACACACACATACATATATACACATATACATATATACACATATACATACACACACACACACACATACATATATACACATATACATACACACACACACACACACACATACATACATACATACATGTATATTAGGGCTGTGCAATTAATCGAAAATCCGATTTCGATTTTGGCTTTTAACAATTATGAAAAACCATTAATCGAGATAAACGATTTTTCCATCACGTACCGCCCCCTTTCCAGTTGTACACGTGTGAAAACTCTGCCTCTGCAAAGCTCAGTTCCACGTGAAAATGACTAAAAGCATGTGCTGTAATGTAACTTGACAATCAAACATATATATTGCTTAAAGGGGCTAATAATATCGAGCTATTAAAATAGGTTTCAAAATATTCAAACCTGCTTTTATTCTAGCTGAAATAAAACAAATAAGCCTTTCTCCAGAAGAAAAAATATTATAGGAAAAACCTCTGTTAAACATCATTTGTGAAATATTTATAAATAAAAATAAATTCACAGAAGGGCGAATAATTTTGACTTATGATTTTTCCCATAATCGAGCAGCCCTAATATATATACATATATATGCGCGTCTGTGTAATATATGGCCCGGGACAACGTTTTTTTTTTTTTTTTTTTTTTTTTGCATCTGGCCCTCGGCCCAAAAAGTTTGGACACCCCTGTACTATATTAATTAATAGTAAATACTACTGTGTTTTTTAACCATACTGACACTGACACCTTCAATAATGACAGAGATGTCGCACAATCAGCTAAAATGTTGCTATAATTGGTCTTTATGTATGGGCGATATATATTGCATCGCAAAAATGATTGAGGTCATGTCCATATGTTGTGTGATAAGTCCATATATTGATTATTGTGACAGGCCGACACAAAATTCGAACACAACATGAGGGTTAATATAGTTTATCAAGATTGTTATGAAGGGTTATGACGAAAGTGTTATGTAGTAAGTGTTATGAAAGCAGTTAAAGTCAGTCAGAGATATTATGTTCAGTGTATTATTAATAAATTCTCTTCCTCTCTCAGGGTTTGGTGGCAGCGGCTCTCAGGTGGATTCGGCTCGTATGAATCTCGCCTCCTCGTTTGTAAACGGCTTCGTTAACGCTGCGTTCGGACAAGACAAACTGCTCACAGAAGACGGAAACAAGTGGCTGTACAAAAACAAGGACCACGGTGAGAACAGGCCTGTCTCAGAGCAGATACACTACAGAAATCTGAAATACTTAACACTATACAATAGTCTCATTAGTAAGTGTTTATGAATAGATTCACATCAACTCTGAGAAAAAGCCAGATTTATAACAGTTGCTATTTTAATTTAAAAAAACACAACTAAATTTGTTTAGTTATTAACTTAATTTAATAAAATAATTACGACTTGTAATCAGATTTTGACTTATTTTAATGCATTTATTAGGCATTGTAATTAGAAGTTAACATCAGCTGAGATTAATAAGTGTTTGTAGTTTTCAGTTAAATTAACTGACGATAACTCATACAGTACAAAGTGTTAACATACAATATCTCTAAAAACAGTCAGTCAGTATTTTAGCATGCATTAGACCAGATTAGCATATGAAAACGTTATTAAGCTAATGTTGTGCTGTTATGAACCCCACTGCAAATACAATCTGAATATTCGTAATAAAAAGCACTCTAAAAGTTTAAATAGTAAATAATTCCTCACTGTGCCCACGATATCAGTATTGTGCATGTTCATGATCATGATATATTGAGTTATTGAATATCAGCCTTTGTCTATTCATGTGTGTTATAGGGATGCTCAGCGCTGCGGCGTCACTGGGAATGATTCTGCTGTGGGATGTGGACGGTGGTCTGACACAGATCGATAAATATCTTTATTCATCAGAGGACTACATCAAGGCATGTACACAACATTTAGCACTCATTTTAACCATTTGGTTACCCAAAACTTGGGATCACAGTGGTCTTCTTTGCCAAAAGTGACTGAAAACCTTTTATTTTATACTAAAACATTTTATTTATGCAGTAAACTTTTTTTTCTTTATTTATATTTAGAATTTTCACAATATTTTGTGGTAAAAGTGCTAATTTATCCAGCAACTTCTTTTTACTTTGCATTTTGGGAAGGTTTTGTAATCAAAATGTTATTTATTTATGCATTCACTTCTTTTAGTCCATTTTTTTGTCAATGCGACTATACTTAAATACTTAAGTTGTCATTTTGTTGTTGTAATTAATATATAAATAGTATATAAATATAAAATAGTATAATATCTCACTGTAAAATGATGTTAGTAATTTTAAGCTAAAGAGAAATAATATAATTTTTATACTGTACAACTTGTTGATAATATATTTTTTTTTTGTCAATGCAAATACGTAGTACTTTTATTGTTGTTGTAATTTGTATATATACACACAATTGACTGTAAAAATACTGTAAATAAAACTGTTTTATTATATAAAAACTGTTATATATAAGAAAAACTGTTTTATTATATATATATATATACACCAGAGGTCGCGTTAGACTTTGTCATTGTCCGTCATTTTGACGGAGAGGGTTGTAAAAATTCCGTCATAACCTGTTATTGACCGTCAATTAATTTGCATATTTTCTAATCGCTTTTTTCATTCATATTTTATTAATGAACTTAAACGACGAGCATAAAAGCTAAATTATTTATTTATTTATTTATCAAATGAACAATAACTCGTATCTGCCTTTACTCATATCTCCCTCCTGCGTCGACCTGAGCTGGGTGCTTGCCATTAAATTCTGTGTCTTTGCCTCGGAAAGTCGACTTCTCCTGACAGATTTAAATTTGTTCTGGTGGCTGAAGCCGCGTTCTGTTGCCACACTGGAGAGTCCTTGCCAGAAGTGTCCCGGACTCTACAGACAGACTCGGGCCACATATGGTTAACAGGAATCGGGCCAGTGCTTTGCAGCCGCATCATAAACACATGTGCGGGAGCGAGCTGCGGGCCATAATCGGCCCCGATAACACTCGCCCATGCCCAGTCGGAGCTGGAGGCACCGAAGGGCAGCCGAGCTCAGGCCGATTACTACCTGCTATCTGGGTAGCGCCACTTTAGCAGTGTTTTGTAGTCAGGAAACATTTCGCCTAAGGAAGTGATCAGAACTAAGTTTGCTGGATTTTCTGAATGTGGGATTTCCCGGTCTTGCAAGCACCCGTGCAGCACGTGCTCCTTCAGCTCCAGGGGCGCAGCTTCACCCCTCTGCGTTCGGTAGTGCATGGTGCTCACAACGCATTTCAAACCACCTGACCTCCTTGTTGCCGCTTGCTTGGCCCGTAACAACAGCTGTCGGCGCCTGAGGATTTTTGTCTGTTTGTTCTTCATCGTCCACTGCATCACTTCCTCTTTTTCTCCCTTTATTGTTAATATCGCAACTATTTGGCTGTTTAAAGAAACTTCTCACACTCAGCTGCTGTGAGATTTTTGCAACTGTACACAGCGGAGACAAAACAAGGGCAATCGCCATCAGCTGGACAGGAGTGGGAATTACAGTTAGCTACAAATACAATAGATCACCCTCAGCATAATCCATCAAAATGACGATCACCTTCAGATTTTTCCGTCACTGCTGAAAAAAATCTGTATATATATATATATATATATATATATATATATATATATATATATATATATATATATATATATATATATATATATATATATATATATATATATATATATATATATATATATATATATATATATATATATATATATATATATATATATATATATATATATATATATATATATATATATATATATATATATATATATATATATATATATATATATATATATATATATATATATATATATATATAT